CACAAAAATAAGTGAAAGATCCAAAACCTACATGAATTACAAATTAGAACCCACTTCTTTAAGATCGGGGAAGGAGGCAGTTAGAAGGGAGGAACAGGTCCAATTCTATTATACCAACAAGCTATTATTTTGTATGCATATTCTCATACACTTTCCATATCCTTGTATATTTTGTGATTAATTAAATATAGACAGATATTGGTGGGAACAAAATTATAGCGAATTGAGTTGACTGTAATTATGTTAAAGAATTACAAATGCTTGCTTCGTGAGGAAGTGTAATCCATGTAATGAGTCCTTTCTTTAAGATCTGTGTTGATGAAATGAAAAGAGAAAATTCCCAAAAATCATGCCCACTATACACATGGATTCAACTTTGACCAAAATAGTGTTCCTTCCATTTCCTCATTTATATACTCTTTTATAACATCATAATCTTTTTTATATCAAGCATATATATGAGACCTTACATTAAAATGGGATTATTTTATTAAGTCTCAAATGTCAAAACTAATTTTTAACAACTCTTGATAAGAGGTTTTTTCTCCTATTTATAAGAGGATTTTTTTTTTCTTATGTTTTATAGAGAGTTTTGTGATACGTGTATATCTTTAAATATCACTTAATATTAAAAATACCTTTTAGATTTAAGGGATCTGTCCGGCCGTGCATCGATCTGACCGTTAACGGTCATATATATTTCGGCGTTAACGGCTAGATCAACGCACGACTAGCTAAATCCGACTGATCGTGCGTCATTTCGGCAACTTCCGACGACGGTCAGCCATGGTGGCTAACGGTGGTAACCAGATCTAGCTATGGTCTTGGGTAATTTGATTGAAGTACATGGGCAATAATGTCTTAAAAATCTTGCATATAAGGTTAAAATTGTTCATAAAATTTTTTGAAAATTGTTTACATAACAAATGCATTTTTTTCCTAAAAAATTATTAATAAAGGGTAAAATTGTAACAAAAATAAGATTACTAAATAATCTTAGAGTACCTAAGAAAATTGTGGTAATCAGATTATTACATGTATAACCAACAATGATTATTATTGATATTGAAGGATTACCATAATCTTATATTAATATAAGATGACATTTCTGGAGTAATGTTAAATACCCCCAACCAAACGCACTCTAAAAGTTTTTTTTTTTTTTTTTCCCTCTTTGAACCTCTTTTTCCCAAATCCTTGTTCATGCTTCCAAAAAAAATAAAAATAAAAATTCATTTTATCTTCAATTTCTAAGCTTTACTTCATCACTATTTTCTATTATTGCTTGTTTTCTCTCCTTCTTAACTATATTGAAAGTAAGTGTCCGGTGGCTTATGGGTTTTTATTTTTGTAATTTATTAGAATTTCCGTTACTATTTGATTTATTTTGAAAAAGAAAATCATTTTTTTTCTTTTAGATTTATTCCTTTGGAGGAGTGTTTTCTCCATTGATTTAGTAAGGATTAATTTTAGACAAATCTCACAGATATAGTGATTCTACAAAGAACACCACAACTATCAAAAGTAGACCCTAGCCCTCATTTCCTTAATTTTTTTCCGAATTAGGCCTTGTGCGATTGTCTTGTGGCCAGAGATATTCTCCCACGGCCTTGTCAAGGCCTAACCCAGCCTCCTCGATGAAAAGGGGCTGAGTTAAGGTTTTTAAGGGTAAAATGGCCACTAAAAATTTAATGGAAAAGTTTTAGATTGCGTTTGGGAGGTTGGATTGGATTGGATTGGCTTAGGTTTTGGGAGTAGGGTCGGATTGGATCTGCTTAGGCTTTGGGATTAGGATAGGATTGGAAAACAATAGGGTTCTCTTGTGTTTGGTGAAATCTGAGATTGGATAGGAATATTTACAGTAAAAATTAATTAAAAATATTATATATAATTTAATGATTTTTTTTAACCATTAAATTAAAATATATTATATATTAAATAAAAAATATATTACACAATTAAGAATATTTACAATATGAATTAAATTTAAAGTTTTATTTTATAACATTATCTTAATTCGGTATTAATTATATTAAATATTAATAATAATGATACTTATGTAATTAAGTTATAATTACTTGAATGAGAGATCTTTGGATTATTAACACATTAATTTTAATTAATGTTTAAAATTTTAAAATTATTTTTTATGACATAAGTAAAAATATTTGTTATTATTTGATATTAGTAATTTTAGATAGTAAAATTAGAGTAAGTATAATTAAAATTAAATAAAATAATAAATTCAAAATATTAATATTAAAAACTTTAAATATATAAATGAATATTTGTATATGAAATATACTATTATTTAGGTTTTTATTAATATTTTTCTTAATATCGGTAATTTTAAATGTATACATTATTTAATAATATTTTAATTAAAATATATTATTATTAAAATAATTATTATTATTTTATTTGACGAATAATATAATTTAGAAGATTAATATTAAGATAATATAATTTATCTAAATAAAATTATTCAATTATCTTAATATTAATGTTCTAAATTATATTATATTATTTTCAATAATACTTATTTTAATTATTTATATTAATAATTTTGAGATTTGTATAATTTATTAATAATAAGAAGCTTGAATGAGGAATATAGTAATTATTAAACTAATAATTTTTAATTAAAATTTAATATTTTAAATTATTATTTTCATAATATGAATAAAATTATTTATTATTATTCAATATAATATTTGTTATTTTAGATAGTAAATTAAATGAAGTATTCAAAAATATTATTAATGAGAATATATAAATTATTTCAGATTATATCAATATTAAAAATAATATTTTGATAAAAAATATTATTTATAAAATTAATTTTACTTATTTTTCTCAACTTGGGATAATAAATTAAATGAAGGAAAAAAATGTTTTTCTCAACTTGGGATAAACAATTCCATGCTTCTCGTGGGGATTGGTTATCCCAATCTTTTGGGATTATTGGTGGCCATAAAGGATCGGACTAATCATAAAAAAAAAAAATTAATTTCAAATATTCGTTTGTTTAATAAAAAAAAATAGATATGAAATGATATCTCTAACTCTGAGTCATAGCCGGCTAAAGAAGTCTTTTATGGGAATAGTGAGAATTTCTCTTCTTTTTCAATAACAAAATGAATTTCTTTATTAAACTCCGTTGGATTGGACCTTAGAGCTTGTACATGTTGCGGGGCCCGAGTGTCATTTTAACAAACTTCAAGAGAGGAAAGGTAATTTGTCCCAAATATTATAAATAATTGGAATGTAAGTTGAGTTGGCAGAGAAGCATAAGATTTTGATTGGCAAAAACTACTCTGATAAGACCAACTACGACACATTTTTTTTATTTAATTCACCCCCATCATTTCCACACCTTCACACCAACGCGAGTGGACTAAACCTCCTTAATTTTCTGTCATTCTTTACTGCACTCTTCTTTTTTACTAAATAATGAAGTTAATTGCATTAACTCTTTCAATTAATAATATAATAATAAAAAATCATAATTTTTTAAATAACATAAATTATTAATGAACCGTTCAAATTTTACATTATTATGAGTTAATAAATATTATCAAATTATTTTTTTATTGCTTATTTTAACACCTAAAATTTATTAATAGATAGATTTATATTATTTCTGAAAATCTTAAAGAGATTGTTGTTATTATATTATAACTTAGGGGAATTGATTTTTTATTAACTCCTAAATAAACTTATAAATTGTAATTTTGTTTAATTATAATTAGCCCATTTTAGTTGTAAAAATAAGCCAAGATCTCCTTTGTAAGGAAAGCCTTTTTATAGATTTTATAAAGATTGATGCTATATGACCTTCACTAAATACCTTTTCAACCTGCATTAATTAATTTGTCATATAATCTGATAATAATATCCTTGTAAATCAAGAGTATTATGCATGAAGATCATATTTTCTTTAATATTTCTTCTTACATTCTTTGGATGGAAAAAATATGCTCTCTTCTTGCACTTCAAAATGAAATCATATTCATCAAAAAAATTTTTTCTTCATAATACAAGTATTTAATTTCATTATATAAAATTTATAACTCAAAATTCATACAAATAACTTGTTGTCTTGTGAATTACATGTTTAGAAGATGCGTGTTTTCATTTACAATAGCTTCAATTGGTTAAGGTTTTTTATATGACAGAGTTAAGAATTGATTTAAAAAAATATATATACACAGATCAAGGATAATTTTATAATTAATTTGAATTAATTTTAAACCAAAACTAATTAAAGAATTGATGGGGTGCATGTAGCATCACTCTTTTATAAAACTTAGAAAAAGAATGTTTCACTGCTTTTTTATTAAATAAATGCTTAAAACAATCATCTTTTTTACAAAGTAAATCCCAAAAATTTAACTTATGCAAATGTAATTCATACTAATGATTTATCTCCGACAACCAATTAGTTAACACTGAAGTGAAGGTTTATTTATGCTTTTGGCAAATGTTAGGGGAGGTATTTGGTTTTTTAAACGTCCAAGAGGCTTGTTTTATAATTATTTATAAAGGTTAATAACAATAAGTCCTCTTAAATAGCAAAAATTTCATGTAGTTATGGTAATAATAAAATTCTATTGTCTGTTAAGTTTTAGTATTAAATTAAATGATATAGGATAATTAAATAAATATTTATTAACCGGTCATATTATAATTTCTAACAAATTTATGACATACTTTTTTTTTTTTTTTTTTAAATCACATGACGTGGGAGGTAAATGGAACGCGTGAGAAGAAAGCAAGTATGGAAGGAAAAGATAAAGAAAAACAAAAGAGCAATTTGAGTGGGACCCAAGTGCCCATGGGATGGCTGAGTGTGAGTGGGGACAAAAACATGACCGTGACCTTCCTCTTGATATTGTTTCTTGTCTTTCTTTATTATTATTACTTGTTTTGAAATCTCTTGTCCCTTCCCTCTCACTCTTCCATTTTCACTTCCATTTTTCTTCTGGAAACAACCTCAAAACCATCACTCACAATCATTCATATTATAAATAATAATAGCAAGGCTATTATTGTTGTTTTTCTTTTCTTTTCTTCCACCATGATAATGTATCTCACTTGCCTCTCATTAAAATACTTCTTCAACTTCAAGATCTCTCATTCTTTTTCCTCCTTTTTAATCTCTCTATAATGCTTTCCATCACATTCCAACATCGGGGTTGAGTAATGTATATGATTTCATCCCTTCTATTCTTCTCTCCCAACTTTCCCACTTTCCGCATTGCTCAACATCAAGCTTGCTCCAGTTTTCGCCATGAAATTAGGTCACTTTTTTACTTAAAACCTCATAACTTTTTCATTTTTAATCCCCATAAATAGCTATATTAGCTTGTTATATTTTTCTTGTTTAATGAGTTATTATTATTTTTGACATTTTTGTATTTAGAATTTAGAACAGGTGTTCGAGTAATTTTTTTTTTTATTGATATATTCTTAAACTTTTATTATTAATCCCTTTATTTGATAATTCCACTTCTGTACATGTTATAATGTATGGATTTATGTGTCATGTATGCATGCATGCATTTGCTTCTGTAATTTAATGGTAATTGGAGTTTTGGTTGTTAGTTTTAGGTTTTGAATGATGAGTGGTTGAGCTGGTTCAACGTGCATTGTCCATAATCATATCTGGCTTTAACAGGACAAGTCACACAGTAAGATTTTCAATAGCATATTCTGTAGGTAGAATATCCAGCTTCATATGTATACTAGCTATTAGACAATGGTATGATTATCAATAATGACACTGTTTATTGAACTGATTCTGATTTTGAAGTACTAAACTGGGTTGGAATCTATATTCGAACCAGGGCTCTCTGTTCCTAGTTTCTCTAATTGAACCAATGGCCTCAGCGATCCTTATTAACACTCTACCTTTGAAATGTGTTATGCCCGCAATGTTAAGTAGCTCTTGATCAATCCATTTCAAGGTTGGTTCAGAAAGAGGATGATCTTTTATTCCTTGATGCTGTAAAACCATCAAATAATTGTTGATTAATTCACTTAGGATCCATCTTGTAAATGAATATTCAGTTGAACTGAATTTGAATTCTATCTTACAAACATCGATTAGACTATTTCTATTTGTAATTCTATGGTTCTCCATCACAGAGAAATTTGGTCCCTTATTCCCATTCTTAACAAGCCTCAAGCTTGTTATTGTAGCAATACAAAGTGCTTGCTAGTTAGTTTACATGTTTACATATTCTATGGTCACCACTGATCTTAATCTCTGTTTCTTGAGGATCACTGAGATAATATGTATCCTGATGCTCCTTATGATACAAAATTTTGTGTTAACTGTTTACATGGATGAAATGAGGCAAAATCAACTTCATTGTGGTGAGTCATATAGGAAGACATATGGCCTTTAAGGAAGGTTTGTTATGTGGCATACTTGGGTTGGGCCATGTTGGGGATACTAGGGGTATGTGAACATGATCATTGTGTAAAAATCCTAGATTTCTAGTGTAAAAGTTTCTCAACTAGTATATTCAACTTGGGATCCCCAAGTAGGGCTTTTGGGTAGAAAAGCTTAAAACAAAACTGTAAAGGTTGTGAGCCCAAAGTGAACAATATTTTACTTGATGGATTCGGGTTGTTACAATTATATGGGAGCTAGGTTCACAACCTCATTAGGGGTGTGCTTCACATGATGGCATTTGACCCTTATTCATGAGCGGTGTTTGATCAAGACCATGTTGGGTTACACAAATATCACACATCAAGTATGAGCTTCTATACAACACTTAGATTTCCCTTGATAAGTAAGAGGTCGTTTGGTTAGAAAAGCCATAAAAAAAAAAGTGAGAAAATTGTCACTGGGATACATTGGGCCTTTTGAAATCCTTAAAAGTGTTAGAACTATGATATACTGGTTAGTTCTTCTCCCACTACTTACAAGGGTTGATAATGCATTTAATGTGTTGATGCTTCGCAAATATGAGCCAGACCCAAGCCATGTTTTATATTGGGAGGTTTTGATCTCACAAAAGAGGTGGCTTACAACAAGGGTCTTGTATAGGTCTTACATTTGTGGCAAGACTATTTAACTAAAAAGTTGCCTACTTTATGGCTTAACTCTATTAAGGAGTTCTTAAAGCATGTCAGTAGTCATGAACTCATGAAACCTATAGTATTTCGGCAGTGGTTTATCATAGTTGAAGCCTATGTGGGAATGATAAAAGATGCATAAAACAAAATTTCATGATGGTATTGGATCGCTTTGAGACACATCAGCTTGTGTCCCCTTTTATACATTGGTTTTCTTGAGTTACAGTATTTCTAAATTGATATAAAATGTGCCCTTTTTAGCTGATTCTTAAATTTCATTTCTGCCTTAGTATCCTTATAAATCTTGCTTGCAAATATATGTAAATAAAATTTATGATTAATAATATGACATGACAGGTTCTCAAGAAAATGATTTGGCTTCATCTCCAGGGAAAAGTGTAAATGGAAGTTTCAGGAAATTTAGATCTGGTGCGTATTCCCTTGACATCAAATTCTTAGTGCCTTCTAGGTGACATCTTTTTATTTTCTGCTCTATATATTGTGGGTGATTGTGAAGTTAATAGGAGCTTTTTCAGATTTTACCTACATTTTTGCTCTATGTTGTATGTAGAATGTTTCTACTATTATGCTGTTGTTAAGAGTAAGTTTTATTTTCAGACCATTTCTTATAAGCATTTACTGGTGTCTCACAGTGGTGTTAGTGTTGAATTGATCAATGGGTTCTACAATTCTTATAAGCTACTAAGCATATAGGAAATGATTCAGTTATAGTTTTTAAACTCAAACAGTATTCAACAATAGTGTTTAAGCTCTAACATGCATCCTCAAGTGCGAGTCTGAATTTCAAGTAATGGACAAGTCACATATCCAAACACAGAAACTTGGATCTATGTGTACAATAATCCTCAAAGCTTAAGTTGATGTATAATAAAATATTTGAAATTATTTTGGTCGGAGGGTTTCCTTTTTGTAAAAAGTGTATGTATGGTTTCAGTATTATGTATATCAATTTTGTGTAGCTTTCGGTACCTTGATCAGAGTTTTATACTGTTTGAGTAGGTATGTGGTCCACATATGAGGCTCTAAGCTCCGTTGGGCTGCTCCTTCTCTTATGTTTCTATCCCTTGAGAAAAAAGTCGAGCTTTTAGGGGTAATAGAAAAGCTACAATATATGGGATTGTGCTGTTTTGACTATTTTTGGTTATTTGGGTAGAAAGAAATTACAGAATTTTATAAAACAATAAATGGGATGAGACTGGATTCGTATGGGACAGCTAAGTTTTGAGCTTTTCTTTGGTCTTTTGTGTCATCTAAATTTCGATATGTGTCTTTTTCTTAATTATTAACAATTGGGAGGCTGCAGTAATGTGATTAAAGGAGTTTAGTTTTAGGGTTTTTGTGGATTTCAAGACCTTTTATTATTTCCTGTATCTTTTGTTAGTTTTTATTTTTGGGTTGTCTTGTCTCACAGATATATAGATGTACTGTTTAGAGCTTTTTCACCTTGTAAAGTTTTTTCAACTTATTTAAGTTTTCTTGAGTTTCTTGAAAATGTGGTCCACAAGGTATTATAATTTCATAGTTTCCTATAAAAGGAAAAAGGAGAAAGAAATTATTTTATGAATTATTTTTCTCTAATCTCATTAAAAACTTCAAGAAGATTGATAGATATTGAAATTGGTAAGATGAAAATTTATAAATAAAAATATCTCTAATGGTGTGTATTCTGAAGCTTACTTGAAAAATATGGTTTGAGATAAACATATGTGCTAAATGGTGCTTAGACCAATTATGAAAAGTTAATATGCTAGCATGGTGTTATCGATTATAAAGGGTCATTATTACAAGGTGCTGTTCCTGCCTGGAGTTATCTGTTTCTTAGTTGCAGAAATATTATCCACTGCTGATACTTGAAAAGGAGCTTTCAAGATCTTGTTACTATAGAAAATCACTTGAGCCTATACAATTTCTATGCATGGAGCTAGACCAGTCAGCTATTATGCTTTCTTCAATATGGCCACTTTCGAAGTCACCTTCTGGTTATAATTGCTTAATAACTTCCTTATCTGCCAAATTATTGCTTAGGGACCACAGCATGACATCCTCTTGACTTTTGATCTTAGCATACGAAAAGTTTGTACAAACCATGTTAATGTTAAAAAGTTAGTGCTTGTTATTGGAGTTACCCTGGGGTTGGTAGGTCTTACATTCAAATGTTTCGAGAAAATAACAAGCAATTTCTAAGAAAAAGATAGTTATTCCAGATTAACTGTTATTTCTCACTGTTCTTCCATCTTGTTGCATAGAAATGCGTTTTTTTTTTTTCTGATTGAGTTTTCTGTTGGTATGGTTCAGGTTTTCTGCGAAGTGATTTTGACTCATCACCAGGGCAAAGTTTGGATGGAAGTTTCAGAAAGCCTAATTCTGGTTTGTAATGAGGCTTATCTTCTTTTATGTTTTATTTTTATCCTATGGTGCTGGGAGTTAACCGTTCTTGAGTGATTGTTCCTAAGTTAATAAACTCATAACTTGTTTGAAATAAATGTCAGTAATCTCTCTATGCTTTATTTTAGAAAATATAACTTAGTATTTGATGTAAGATAAATTGAAGGAAAGGAGTAATAAAGATAAGAAATAAAAGCCGAGAGAAAAGGGGAGAAATTAGAGAGAAATTATAGAATAGACAGATTTTAGAGTAAAAGAGATAAGAACTAATGGAGACGAATTTCATAAATTAGAGGGAGAAGGGGAGGATATAAAATGAAAAGATACCCAAAAATCAGTTTTTTTATTCAAGGTCACTTCTTCCAAATCTAAAGTACATCAAATCCATTTTAGTGGCTACAAATAAATTGAGGATAAGTCTTCTTGTAGAAAAAGTTGTTTTCCTGGTTTTCTATAGCTTGTAATCTGAAAACAGTTTTCTGAATATTATATCAATAAATTCTCAATCATTAAAATATTTATGGTACACACTCAAATGTTTGAATTGGATTTTAGTTTTTGAATATTGTTTTCAGATCACAAATCAAGTGGGACTTATTATCCTATAAATATATTTATATTTATTAAAGGATAAGCTTCTTGGTTCTGCGTCAGATTTGGGTGCAGAAAAATTTAGATGTGATGAGTATACATTTCTTTGAAGTGAGACCACGAGAAAAAAGGGTCTTTCAGCAACGAGTCAATCTTCCATTGTTGAAACAAGTGCAAATATTTAGATTTTAGATTTCCTAAGAACTGACTTGGTGAATTCATATTTCATATTGTAACATTATTAGAATGAATATTCTACTTGTCTTATTCATAGAGAAAAGAATATATAATATATAATATATATATATATATAATATATATATATATATATATATATATCTATACACTTGCAGTGTTCTAAACTAATATGTGATCAATCTATAAGGATACAAATCAATGTGATCCCTATATCCTAGAAATTACTTCTAATATAGCAACCTAATAACTACCAATATACATCTGTAACACTCCCCCAAGCTGGAGTATAGATATTACATCTAACCCAGCTTGTTACAAAGATAATCACTCGAATCCCAGTCAGAGCCTTCGTGAAGATATCTCCCATTGTTTTCCAGCTTCACGTACCTAGTGGAATCAGACTATGCTGTAGTTTCTCACGACGAAATACAATCGATCTCAATGTGTTTTGTTCGTTCATGGACACTAGATTATGCAATATGAGAGGTCGCTTGGTTATCACACCATAATTTTGCTGATCTGAAGTTTCAAGGCCTATTTCAGTCAGAGTAATATATCCACATTATTTCACAAACAGCTTGTGCCATAGCCCTATATTCCAACTTTGCACTTGATGGTGACATGACATTCTGCTTTTTGCTCTTCCATGATATTAAATTTCCTTCGCAAAGACACAATAGCCTGATTGGGATCTTCTATCTACCTTGGAACCTGCCCAATCACATTTGAGATACATTCAATATGAGAGTGACTATATTGCATATAATATACCATGTCTAGGGGCTCTTTTCAAATACAACAAGATCTCCTCCAAAGTTGCCCATTATACTGTTGGGGATGTCATAAACTGATTGACACACTTACTGATATGCAATATCTGGCGAGTCACCGTAAGATAGTTCAACTTCCCGCCCAATCTTCTTTATTTCTCAGATCTCCAAATAGTTCACAATCTTTCGTAAGTTCACATTAGGAACCATCGGAGCACTACATGGCTTGCCCCCATTTCCCTGTCTCAGTTAATAAGTCGAGCACATATTTCCTTTGAGAGGGAATATACCTCGTTGCTTTTTGTAACTTTAACCTCTAAGAAATTCTTCAACATCCTAAGTCTTTTGTGTGGACTGGGTTGGAGAAAAGATTTAAGAGATGTGATCCCACACTATCACTCCCGTAATACAATATCATCCACATACACACTAGAAAGAATGATGCTAGTTTCAGACCGTTTGTAGAAATCATAATGGTCAGTTTTACATTTAGCATACCAAATCTCTCAACAGCTGACTAAACTTTCCAAACCAAGCACGAGGACTCTGTTTTAAACTTATAGAGATTTTCGAAGATAACATACTTTCCCATACTCCCCTAAGCAACAAACCCAGGAGATTGCTTTATATATATTCTCTCACGAGATTTTCGTAAAGAAAGTATTCTTGATGTCTAGCTGATGTAAGGCCAATCATAAGTAGCTGCCATAGAGACAAACAACCGATAGAGGTAACTTAGCAACAGGGGAAAAAGGATCAGAATAATCAACTTTGTAGGTCTGAATCATACCTTTAGCAACCAGATGAGCTTTTAGCCGAGCAACTAACCCATCTGGATTACTTTAACTGTAAACACCCATTTGCATCCATAGCCTGTTTTCCCGAAGTAAATCTACCAATTCCCAAGTACCATTGTCATTTAAGGCCTTCATCTCTCTATCATCGCATTACGTCAACTAGGTTGAGAAAGAGCTTCATGAACAGTTTAAGGGATAGTAATAGAATCAAGGGAAGCAATAAAGGAGCATATGAAGGTGACAAATGATCATAAGACCAAAGAAGAACATGATAAGTACACTGCCGTTTACCTTTCTGCAATGCAATAGGAGATCATCACTTGACACTGGATCTGATGACGAAGAATGGTGCTAACATGAAGCAGGAGGAGTGTGGACGGCGAGAGTAGACTTTGACAGGAGCAATAGAGATAGAGAGCAGATGCAGGAAGCGCAGGAATAGTGACAGGGTTAGAGACAGAGGCTGTTTAGATATAGTGCAGGGTGGTTGAAGGTATAAACTAACAAATCATCATCATACATCCTTTTACATTTGTAGGAAAAGATGGAAAGTATGTATTTCTTCTAGAAAGGCCATCAATGGAAACAAGATACTTATTAAGACTTGGACAATAGCATTGATATCCTTTCTGAAGTCGAGAATAACTAGAAAGACACATTTTAATGACTTGGTCTAATTTAGTGACTGACTGTCGAACATCCCGAACAAAGCAGTGTCTACCAAATATCCTAGGTTCAAGAGGAAATAATGCTTTGTTAGGAAAAAGAATACTGTACGGATCTCACCATGAGGACAAAGATGGCATGCGGTTAATCAAGAAGCAGGGCAGTTAGAAACTGCATCCGCCCAGAATGGTTTTAGGAAACTCTTTGGAATAAGGGCTCTGATAGTTTCAAGAAGATGTCGTTTTTCCGTTCTGCTAATTCGTTTGAGATGGGTTCAACACATGAAGTTTGAATGAAAGAAACCATTCTGAGTCTTGTAATTTTTAAAAGAACTGACAGATATTCTTTTGCATTTCACTGCCAACGTATGACACATAAACATTTAATTGAGTTTAACTCATCACCACAAAATACAGAACATAGAAACAAATCAAAATGATTTTATTAAGAATAACCAGTCTACGAGAGTAATCGTCCACAAATGTAACATATCTAAAACCAGTTTTATACAGCACTGGACAGGGGCCCCAAGCATCGAGTGAACAATTCAAAGGGGAATTAGCTCTTTTATTGACTCTAGGACTAGAATTGACACGATGATGTTTAGCAAACTGACATGACTCACATTCTAATGTGACACTTTTTAACACCGTGACACATTTTTTCAGTGAAGGAGAATGGATGGCCCAAACGACAATGTGCTTGAAACCGAGATGCAACAGTAGGACAAGCGACAGGTGTAGATTTTGGTCTGTCAAGAATATATAACCTCCAATTTATGTCCTTAACCAATTCTTCTTCGTCGTAAGATCTTTAACAAGCAATAATCGGGAAGGATAAAACACAACAGTTAGAGTACGGGAAGTTGGCTAACATAAATCAAATTGAAAGAAATCTGGTAATGTAAGACATTTGACAAGGAAGTTGTGGGGTACGGTAACTGTGCCAGACCCAAGAATGTAGGATGGGACCCATCTGCTAAAGTCACTTTGAAGAGTTTTTGATTGATAAGTAGCAAAGAGACTGGGATTACCTGATCTTGATCTGTGCACGAGAGTCAATGACGAATTGAAGGATGAGAAGGAGACATGTATTGGCTACCTGAGTCAGCCATAACCGTGAACAGGGTAGATAAGCTTTTAATGATTTTGTACAAGAAACTTGACAATTCATATGCAAGATGAAACTGATTGACCAAGTACTCATTGGTGGATGCAACAGGGCAGAGGATTCTTTTAGTTCTGTTCTGAGCTTTCAACAATCACGCTTCATGTGGTCCTGGCTTATGGAATAGTGACCCCACAATCCTTCCTATTACTATTTGGCCCCCTTCCTTTGTTGCCACTTCCAAATTGTGACTCTCCCATTCAAGTCATCTTTTTGACTGACGAGAGCACCACTGAACTGAACCGGTGGGATACCTTCTGTGCGAATGTACCCTACTAAAGACATCCTGCAACAAGAGATCTCTGGACTTGCTAGAACCTGAGACTTAGCAGTCTCAAATTGAGAAGGAAACCTGCAAGAAACTCATGACGGCCATTTGCTCCCGTTGTTTTTTGGTTGAACCTTTCATCAGCACTTTCAAGGTAACACATGTTCACCACTTCATAAGCTTCTTAAACTCCATAAAATAAGCTGTAAAAGACTTATCTTGTTTCTCTGCACGTAGAATGCCTTGACCCTTCACTAAATATGAGAAACATTCTTTTTTCCAGAAATACAGAACTCCAAATAATCCATCATTCTTTAATAAACTCACAATGATTAATAGGCCCAGTACTCACCGTCAATAGAGTTCCTATTTGTGAATTGAACCACCGAGCACATCCCGGAGCCATGGTCTTTTTCGAATCTCCTTAGGTGGATCATCAGTCTATATGATCTCTTATCAAAACTCCGCAAATACAGTCTAACAGTTTTAACACAATCATGTTATTAGTTAACCAATAGCTTATGTTCTATAATTTTCGACATCGTCGGTATCATTTCTACCACGTCCTTTGTATCATACATTCTTAAAAAACAATAATCCCAATGCACACCAACAAACGGTTAAAACGAAGTAAATTACCAACTCAGCGACACACCATCAATCACAACCATAGCCAACCAAAGACCAAAGCACAACAAGTCCATAAACAACGAAGAGCAACAGTACCATAAGATATTACCAAGCCCAGCACGAAAATGTGCTGTACAGTGCCGGCAAAAGCAGACGAAGAGAATCGGAGGAGCGTCAACGGTGGACGTGCATCACGCGCCGGCGTATGGGTACTGGTGACCGAACTTTGGTGGCACGTGGGGCTCACGGCGGAGATTCTGATGCCGGAACTCGAGGTTTTGCCGATCGGTGGGCTTCTCATCTTCCTAGGGCTCGACTGGTCGAACAAATCTCACTCTAAAACGGTGTTCCATTTGAACACCAAACCCTAATCACATTTTATTGGCTCTGATACCATGTAACAAGTATTAAGAATGATTCTACTTGTCTTATTCATAAGAAAAAGATACATATATATATACATATGCATGTTCTAAACTATGTATGTGATTAATCTATATAGGATACAATATATGTGATCCTATAATCCTGGAAATAACTTCTATATATATCCCAACCTATAATCACAATATACATCTGTAACACATATATACAAAAAAAGATTACCTATAGGTTTCGAATTGTTCTCACCTTGGTTCTTTATACATTCTTTGCAAGCACATATGTGTATTGGACTCAATATAAAATATCGAGTCCTCACCTACTAGTTAAGCTTTAGGTGGAATGACAACTTAATATGGTTAGAGCTAAAAGTCAAAAGTTGAAACCCCACATTTCTATGGAAATATAAATATCCAAGTTTCATCGAACTCAAATATTAAGTTTAGGCCCTCACAGCTTCAGCTTTACTAACTGTTTAAACTTTTAGGTGATGATAACTTATAATGGAATCATTAAATTAAGGCAAAAGTAATTTTGATTTTGTTTTTAGTTCATAAATGAGTCTTTGGTCCTTGGAAGGATTTTAATTTGGTTACAGGGATTTATAGTCCCATTATGCTTTTGTATTGTTCTCATAGTATTTTGGAACTTCAAATGGTGAGCTTGCAATCTGCAATTGATGATCAATATTAGAAGCTTTTGTTGAAATTCAAGGCCTTTCTAGCCGTAATACTTATTTGTTCGTTGGTTGTCATATATAGGTTCAAAGCAAAGATCGTACTTGATAAGCATACTGTATTGCAGAGAAAAGGAAAGAATAAGAAAATGAAAGGAAAGAAGAAAACTCCAGAACTTCTTTTGATCAATAATAAAAAAGTGAATCAATGGTAGCTAAGGGAAACTGTCACTGCAAAGAGTGGTATTAGAAACACAAACTTAGGCATTGTAACATGAAGCTAATATGCTTAGTCACTTGTTTTTTCATGCTTCCTTCAAATGTAGTGGCTGCCTTCAAACCTTATTAGATTTGAACTTTTAACTCCAATTAGTAGCCAACACTTTTTCAGTATCCTTGGGATAACCCTTGAAAACCATACATATGGATAGCAGAGCCTAAAATGTTACAGCGATATACATCCCACTGACCCCACAAGTTTAGGTAAAAAAATAGTATACATAGGTCTTCAAATACTTTTATCTACTTCAGCTTCAGTTTATTGTTTTTTACATCATGGCTCTTCTCAAATGCCAGTTTTTGGGATCCATGCCTACAGAATCATAGCCGGAATAACCACTCATAGCACATTTCACATAAAATACCAATCAAGAAATTATGTATTTCTTTCTTGTCTAGTGGGTTTCTCCACTCTGATCAAGGTGTGGCTGTCCAAGCTAAAAAAGGAAAAGAATGTAAAAAAAAATAGCCTTAAAAGAAACTTCGGCATGCCACTCTTCTAAAAGACTTGTCAATTGACTTTTCCGCAATTCTTAACTGTAACATGTTGCCTGAAAAGCTGGGTCTTAGTTAACTTCCATTCAGTCCATTCAATACCTCTTATCACCTTCTCTGTTTTTCATAAACTTTTTCAAGATGCATCCAGGACTTACCTCTCGACTTTGCCCTGTCCTAAAAGACGCTGCTTGACTAGGATGCCAGCCCTGGTATATACTTAGTCTTTAATGTCACTATTAAGTTCAGCTGTCTCAATCCCTGGCCATTGATTATCATAAATTAGGTAAAACTGAATGGGCAATCATTAGAGACTAATTTAGTCCATTGTATGTTATAGTTTTTCACCGTCCTTCACCACCCTTTCATTCTACTGGTTCCAAAACACTCCAGCTGTAAAATATAGCTCATGAGGTAGGAGGTTTTTAATTATTTATCTTTTTAGTTTTTAAATTATGTTCTTAATACTTTAGTTTCGTCACTTAGAACAATATATAGCCACTGTCCACAAAACAATCTTTAGCCTATTAATTTCACTGCCTTAGCTCACACAACCTAAATCTTAGGAAAGGATTCATCTCAAAATCCTGGATACCAGATTTTACATTCCACCTTAGAAAATATGACTTACTGTTACAGAAGAAATGTAAAATAAACTAATATTGTTTGCAGATTGGATTTACCCCTATTTCTTGATTACAGTGCTTATTTTCTAGTAAGTGTCATTTGTTCAAGTGAAAATGGCAGAGAGAATAATTAGAAATCAATGTGTGTGATCTAATAGAAAGTTATTTAATTTGATAGAGTAACATGCTAAACATTGTAAATGTAGCTTATACAATTCAGATAAAGAAGTTAACTTTGTTTATCTTGAGGTAAATATATCCCAATCTAGTCCACACACAGTGTATGCTTTGCAATTTTTAGAAGTGAGTTCTATGTAGTTTTATCCTGTAACTTTTGTTGGCTCATTGTAATATACGGGGTAATACAACTAACTTATAATACTTTAATTATCTTTTCTAATAATTCCTTTGGCCTATTTTATCATCAGTGAAGTTTCCATGTCTGCAATCGTCTTTTTTCTATATTATGCTTTGCTTTATTTTGACTTAACATATATATAACTGTTGTGCTAATGTATGCGGTGCATGAATGCAGTTATATCTGCCCACAGTATATCTGGTGTTTCAGCTTCAAGCCAATTTCAATCCCATTTCTAGAAATTATACAAGGGGTTAAAGGATTATAGGAAAAACTTGTTGACCGAGAACTATTCCTCAAAGTCTTGAAGATTGGATTATTAAAAATCTCTTGAAGATGAAGCTACTGGGAACAGTCTTTCCGTCTCCTTTCTCATGGATGAATTGCGCAAATCTTGATTTAGCATTAGAAGGGGTTTTATTTCAGCAGCTGTGTCGTATGCCATGCTCAGCATATGCTTCTAGTAATTTTGAAGAAGAGGAGTTTCTTGCACTAGAAGATTTCCTCCATGCTATTCTAAATGGCCTGTGGCGTACATTTTGGCGTAAAAGTGACCATTGCCATTCTTTTTATCTTGTGCCCCCGCATCCTGGATCCAGGTTTTATTCTGTAGAGAAGGCAATATCTCAGAGGAAAGCTTGATGAGCTCTGTGGATTAGGTTTGATAGCTAAAACTGAGAATGATTTGCAAGTCCGTTGGGATCAAGTGGTACAGTTTACCATATTTAGATCAGACATATGTCAAAATGAGTTGAAGTTGTCTACTAGCAGCATTGTGAAGCTCTATTTTATGGTATTCATGTACTTCTTGCTAGAAGTTTGAGCAAGTTCTGTAACATTGACAACGATTCTGTTTTTGTTTTGGTTCTTGATTCCAATCGGTGGAGTGGTAAAACTTAGTGGTGAATATTGTAAACTTGAACTTACTCAACTAACCCATATCAATCTGTGGGGTTGAGTGATCAAATGCCATGCTGAAATCATTATTTCTGCAGTGACGCATAGGGAACAAGCTGGGAAATGCAGTTGGGGGGACTTGGAACTCTGCAGATAATTCTGGCACTTTCTATCCATATCCAGTGGAATGGACCACAAGGAAGTCAATAGCCTCATTGGCCTCAGATCATGCCTTCGCCTTCAGAAACGTAGTTTAGAGTGCCGTTAAGGAGAATGAAAGGCACTGGTACCTTCCAATATCAAGCCATCAACAAGGAGAGATTGTTGAAGTTGATCAGTGTGATACTCCAACATTCAGAAGGAAGCATCACGCTTAAAAGCTCACAGGGTGAAATATTGGTACTGGAGGATCAACGCAGGGGCAAAGAAATTTTCAAATACAGATTCTTGGAAGGAGGGAACTATTTCCTCTACAGTGCTGTTGCTCTAGAATCCCGTGGAGCTGTTGACTTTGTATGTGGTGCTCATCCACCAGGCTGGAGCCGTCTTGGGCAGATATGATTCTGTGGTACCAAGTACAGAGGCAAACCAAAGTATTAAACATCTTGAAACAACAGGATCTCAAGTAAATATTGCCAGAAATCATCTTCTGTCGAATTTTGCATTCTGGTCCCTGTAAAAAACAGGCCCAGGGGGACGCTGTGATCATTCATGGTGTGGAACCCCAATACTTTGACATCTACAGTTGGGGAGCCACTTTCACTAGTAGTTGCTCATAATGGCCTGTTGTCATCAGAAGAGGCAATACGCTGCTGCCGAGACTGCCTATTGCTCTAAGAAGTGCAGCCTTGGCCAACGTTCCAGCATGGGGATATTTTCCTGAAAACATAATACGTGTTGTTGACTCACAGGCCAGGAGAAACACATTTCTATACGTCGTCCAATATCATGGGACTTGCACGTATATTGAAGACAGGGACAGCCCAGTATAAATTTACAGTTCTCTCATCTAATGCACTTCAGCTGGAAGCTTTGTCCATCATCCGATGCTGAGAGCCGCATTACCTCTTATTTTTTGTTTGTGGAGGAACTATGGAGCAAAACAACTCAATCGAATCTGCATTGCAAGTGGAGGGAGAGATTGGGCAAACCGGTCAATTCAGCAGCTCTGCGAGGTTCAGCCCTCTTAAAGGCATTTGCTGATTATGTGGATAGTCTGTGTGGAACCCCATATCCAGTCGACTATGATATTTGGTTTAAAAAGACTAATAGAGCTTGGATGGCGCAGCAGATAGAGGTTAAAATGATTGAAGAAGTAGCCATAACTTCCAGACTAGAGGATGTTGCTGAGTTCTTCGGAACCTCAGCAGGTGGTACTTAAATTAGTTTTCATAGTACAAGAAGCTGAGTTTTGTTGGGGTTGGTTTTGTACCAGTTTTTTGAGTGAAATTGGCATAGTTTTGGTTCAATGGATCTTAACACAAGTTTCAACCTCAACAATGTGAATCTTTTATCAAGTTGAGGCTTCATAGCAAGATGAGAAATTGTGTATCATTGTTGGATTGGATTCAATGTAATGTATGATGTTGGTAATTTTCTTCATTATTAATTGATTATTGGATTTCCCTCTAATTCCACTGAGGCTATTTGCTTGTTTTTATTGTGCAAAAAAACCCCCGATCAGATTGTGCAAAGCATTTTAACCTAGCCAGAAACAAAAAAAGCTTAAGTATTAATTGAATTTTCTTTAAAAGATTACTAACAAACAAATTATTTTAATAATAATGAAAAATTATTACAACCTTCTCAAACAGTAGGTATGACCAAACTTTAAAAATGCAAGGTAGTGCCAAACTTCTAGGATGGCTTTTACTTTGTGGATTGTATTATTGTATATTTGTATGGGGATGGTAATGTGGATAGGGATGGGAATAGGGATGTGTGAAGGAAAAAATATGATTGAATGAATCATGATTGCATTGTTTACTTATAACATTGAAATTGAATATTAAGGGAATATAATGATATATGTGATAACTGACAAAAATACACTCAACATTAAAATATTCAATGTAAGTTAAAAATTATGATTACATTTTTAAATAGAAAGCTAATTATGTAAGTAGTAAAACGAATTAATACTATATTTTAAATTCTTTAAATATTTTTTTTTTCACTTTAACAATAGATATTCTACCAAAAAAATAAAAATTTAATCGTAGGTCAATATGGTCAATCCTATTTAATGATTAGTCAAAGATAGTCAACGTTGGTCAATGATCAATCAATAATTCAATATCAGCGAACGCCAATCAAGATCTTGTTAACTATTGGTTAACACCGATTAATGGTGGTCAACAATGGTGAACTATTGATCAATGCTGATCAATAGTGGTTAATTGTCAATCAATATTTATCAACACCGGTCAACTGTTCAACAAATGTCAACATTTACAAATACATATTTTAACAATAACTAAATCATAAAATAATACGCATTGAACTAAAAATCTTTAAACTTTTAAAATTCAAAATAGGGTTAAAAAAGTAATTTTATTAAACTCCCTACCCCAAGAATTAGGATTCCTTACAAAATTTTAAGGAATCTTTTACTCTTGTGTTTTAAAGAATTGATTATCTATGACAATCCAATAAGTAAACAAGGGAATTGAAAATCACAATTAAGAGGAGTTAAAGCTACATATCTATGTAGATAATGACAATAAGAAAATCGTATTGCTATTCTGCCCATTTCCACAAGTCCAAAATCAGGAATTCTTCCCTCCCTTCTAAATCTAATGTACTTCTTAGAAACATGGAATACTATGCTTTTTGACATAAACGATACACAACAATGGTACAACTCCATCCAAAATAAGACAAGTACTTCATCAAAACAAGAAGATCAATACACAATTTTCTCTTGCATTCATCTTTCATTGTTGTAGAACTCCTCAGAACAAAACACTTCATAGAATCTCTCATATTTGGGAAAAAAGGGAATGGCTACGCTATGTCAATTTCACCAATCTTGAGCAACCATAAGGCCTTAAGCTGGAAAATTTATATGGAGACTTTCTTGGGCAAAGTCATTAGTTTTAGAACAAAAAAACTCAAGCAGCTAACCTTGAATCCACACTAGTGAAAGAATCCTAATCAAAAGATTTACAAAATGGTAGCAATCATATNCGACAAAGACACAATAGCCTGATGTGGATCTTCTATCTACCTTGGAACCTGCCCAATCTACATTTGAGATACATTCAATATGAGAGTGACTATGATTGGCATATAATATACCATGTCTAGGGGCTCTTTTCAAATAACACAAGATCTCCTCCAAAGTTGCCCAATGATGAACTGTTGGGGATGTCATAAACTGATTGACAACACTTACTGAATATGCAATATCTGGGCGAGTCACCGTAAGATAGTTCAACTTCCCGACCAATCTTCTTTATTTCTCAGGATCTCCAAATAGTTCACAATCTTTCGTAAGTTGCACATTAGGAACCATCGGAGCACTACATGGCTTTGCCCCCAATTTCCCTGTCTCAGTTAATAAGTCGAGCACATATTTCCTTTGAGAGAGGAATATACCTCGTTTGCTTTTTGTAACTTTAACCTCTAAGAAATTCTTCAACATCCTAAGTCTTTTGTGTGGAACTGGGTATGGAGAAAAGATTTAAGAGATGTGATGCCCACACTATCACTCCCAGTAATAACAATATCATCCACATACACAACTAGAAGAATGATGCTAGTTTCAGAAAGTTTGTAGAAAACAAAATGGTAAGTTTTACATTTTAGCATACCAAATCTCTCAACAGCTTGACTAAACTTTCCAAACCAAGCACGAGGACTCTGTTTTAAACTATATAGAGATTTTCGAAGATAACATACTTTCCCATACTCCCCCTAAGCAACAAACCCAGGAGATTGCTTTATATATATCTCTTCCTGAAGATTTTCGTAAAGAAAAGTATTCTTGATGTCTAGCTGATGTAAAGGCCAATCATAAGTAGCTGCCATAGAGACAAACAACCGAATAGAGGTTAACTTAGCAACAGGGGAAAAAGGATCAGAATAATCAACTTTGTAGGTCTGAGCATATCCTTTAGCAACCAGATGAGCTTTTAGCCGAGCAACTAACCCATCTGGATTAACTTTAACTGTAAACACCCATTTGCATCCAATAGCCTGTTTTCCCGAAGGTAAATCTACCAATTCCCAAGTACCATTGTCATTTAAGGCCTTCATCTCCTCTATCATCGCATTACGTCAACTAGGTTGAGAAAGAGCTTCATGAACAGTTTAAGGG